AAACTAAATATACAGTTAAAAAATTATGATTATGATTTAAAGAAAATAAATATCTTATTTTTGTGCATTCGTAGTTTTCGCTTCTAAATGATACAAACTCTTTTTGTTCCAAAGCATCGGAATATCTTGATAAGATTAAAACATCCTAGCAATTTATCGCGCTTGTAAAATTTTGTATTATCCATCAGACAATTTCGCTTTGTGTCCCCGACAAGTAATGATATCATTTTAATTTGTCGCGGGTCAGAAAGTTTGTTGTTACGTTACGATGGCATTTCGTCCGGAGCACTGTGTTGTTTAGTGAGTTCGCGCATGTGATTGCCCTCGTGAAGGTTATCATAAAAACCTTAGAGACACATGAAAGAATGTGAGTGATGGATTGTACGAGCGATTTATCAAGCTATGAAATTATATGAAACATTAGCTTATATACTTTGATGAATTTGATTTTCAAAAGATTTTATAAGATTTAAATCTTAATAATCAAATCTGAATATTTATTTCTAAAATTGATTAAATTTGATCAAATTCTTGTATTTGTAAAAATGTAAAGTCTTTAGCAGTTTTGAAAATAGGCATTAATAAATTGTCAATATGATTTCAATAGAGAAAAAGAAATATATGAAAATTTAAAAATATCGTGATAATTTATATAATTTGTATTTATATAATTAGAGTTGTATAACATTTTTTATTTGTATCTAATTTTACGGATTACATTTTACAAATTTCATTCCATACTTTGAAAATTAGGGACAAGAATGTGAATGAATATTTTGTATTTCCATATTTAGTATCTGATGTTATTTAAGTTTCGATGCAAATTTTTCGAAACACTCTATATAATTGTGTCACTCTATAATGGTATGGTAATTGGCGATTCGTCAAGCCACGGACAAGCCATGGATTCACCGCGTTAACCGCTTGGTCGAGACACGTCGCAAGTTTGCCAGGAGTCTTTGGAGTACTTCGTCGAATGACGAAACGTCTCTCTGATGAGAACGAAATGAGAGGACGAAGCAAAAGGAAGAGTACGATGAGAAGAAAGAAGTGGAGGAGATCACATATGTTTTTACGCGACGTGCAGCGCGAAACCTGATTCATCTTCTCTTTCGGAACGTCATAATTATGTCGTAATTGCGCGTTTGTTCGTTATTTGAGGAGAAGGTACGTGCGTGGTTACGCGCGCGCATCACAGATTATAATGTATCTTTCCGAGGAAATTATCTGGCAATTTCTCAATTATCTTTTTCAGCGACAGGAGGCGTATCTTGAATTTCACGATAAAATAAAGAAATAGAGAAAAAACTCATTATATATAAATTGACGCGCTCCATTATTGATCTTGTTATCTTTATTTGACATTATGAAAAAAATTGATTAAACTTTACTTTCCTAATTAAATGATTCTGATTTCAAATGCACATAAAATAAGATTATGCATGCATATGTATTTTCGTTTTTATCGACTAATCGCCGACGTGACCGATCAATCATGAAATCATAAAGAAATCTGAACAAATACGCTTCGCTCTTCTCTCGCATTTGTCCTCGACACGTGTCGCTTTTTCCTTTCACACAGAAAGCGGTACAGTGGGTGGAAGAATATCGTTACATGCGTGCCGGTTCTTCCCGTAGAGACGGAGGCAGGACGTGTTGCGACGTTGAGTGGGTGGAATGTGTGTGCCTCGGACGCATCCGACTCTCTTTTTCCCGTCGTCCAACGCTACGCTGTCGCGCCCGTAGAACCAGTTTTTGTTTTTCGAAGAAAATTAAAATTCCTAACGATTGGATGCATAAAAACGACAATTTTTATCTTGCACAATTAAGGCGTAACATATATAAATATATCGTTTTTTTCATCTTTTCCTCAATAAAGATTGTCGAAAAATGTAAATAAATAAATTTACTTTGTCTTTTAATGTTTCATTGTTGCAAGACGTTGCCATATATAGAAGAACCGATGATGTAGTTATATATAATCTCCAGTTTTATACATTTTAATTAATAATCAAATTAAGGTTATTAATGATTTTATTAATGTTAAGTTTGCCAGTTCCACACAAGATCATAAAATTGCGTCGCTAGCGTGAATGTCTTCTTTGGAAAACATTTTTTTTTTCAGAATAAAGTAATCGCGTTTGATAATAGAACTCGACTTTATGTATCTTTTTTACTGTTTCTTTTTTTTTGCTTTACTTTTTCAGCTGTTTTCTCTCTGTAATTCATATTCAACCGCGTGACCATGTTACAATGAGAAGGTAAATAATACAAAAAATATCATGCAATGTTATTGATCTGTTATTATCTGAGATCATGTTCTTTTATGACGTTTTAAATAAATATTAAAATTTTTATTACATATCTTTTGATTTTTAATCGTTTTCTCCCAACATAATTGTTAGGTGCTTAGATTAATGTAAAAATGGAAAACCAGTGCAAAAAGAACATTGAGGAAAAAATGTGGAAATTCCACCGTATAATCTTTAATTTTATATTTAATCTTATTATTTAATTATTTTATTCCTATCTTGTTAAATATTACTCAAAAGTGTTATGTTAAGTATGTAGATGAAATGACGTTTGCACATGTAACATTTGTGCCAGACCGTTAGTTCTCGTTCAAGTGCTCTCATCTTTTCATTTTTTCTTTGCGCAAGAATCTCTTCTACGACGAGTAAGTATATGCGCTGCGTCTAATGCTGTAAGTGCATTTTATGACTACACATGCGAGGTTCGCGAGAAGAAAGTTTATTTGAAAATAGTGGCAGATGGATGATCACTCGATTAATCAGTAAGAATCAATGAGCAGGCTTATGATATTGTGTGGCGCATGTTTACTATAAAAACATTATTATTAGGTTATTATCCGATCAAGTACTTTTCTACACTCGTAAAAATTGCACCATTTCGAAGTAACGATATTTTTTTAATCGATAGAGGTAATTTATTATTATTTAATGAAACAGCATTATACATTTGACAATTCAGCACAATTGAATATTTTGTACTCCTACAGAGTGTTCCGTATGCCATTAACATTCAATCGCAATGGATTCGTTGTATATTAAAACGTGCAATTATAACTTACAATGGGCGCTGGACCATTAAGAATCATTCGACTCGCTCGAATCTTCGTCTTGGGTGTGCGCGGCATCGTACATAATTTATGAAATATAAATCCAGGAGAAAACCAACCCTCAACAAATTTGACCACACCTCACCACGCCTTCTTGCGTGGTGTCTTCGGTCCTTTTCACCCTCAACTTACTCTTTCTGCCCCTTTCGCCATATACTTTTCTGTATTCGCGTCGGCAAGATAATGCGCCTTTGTTTTTTTTTTTTTTTTTTGGAGTTTTTGTTTTGTTCTTTTTCACTGCGGTTTCTTCGGCTTCGAGTCCTTTGTCTTCGTCTCTGTTTGTTCGTCTGTCTCTCGTCCTAGTATCCCTTCGTGAGTTTGTGTGTCAGAAGAATCATTAGAATGGTAGAGCGTGCTAAAGCGACCAAGGTTAAATGATGAAGAAGAAGGTTAAGAGACGAATGATGTTGAAAAAAGGATAAGGCATAGGCTGACTCATTTGTTTGGTGAATCGACTTTCAACTCTCGCAGCTTCAATCTCATTTGCATGTCCATTTGTTGCTACAGTTTATTTATTAGCGCGTTTCTTTATAATAACGTTTGTTATTGTTTTGTTTTTTTATTATTTAATCGTGAAAGTTGAGGGAATTTATAATTGATTAGTATCATTTTGCACCATCGGTTCTTTTGATTTATTAACTTTTTATAACTTTCATATGCTCTAAATTGCAGGATCCATTTTGCCAAATCAAAAGCAAATATTATTTGCAAATGGCTTTCGATGGTAAACAACTGATGTAAAGATCTGAACGGAACAATTTTATATCCGCACAATTTTAGTCGCTTTGTTTTTACAAGTCCGGAATTAATAACAGACGATTTTGTATTTGTAAACATTTTTTGCAATTGACAAAAATCAACTCTGGATGGCGGTCTTTCCTTTGTTCAAATCATCATTAATTATTATTCCTGACAGAGAGAGAAGGTAAGGCGCGGTTATCGAAGTGGGGCGAGGATGATACAGAAAGGTCGAGGGAAGGCACATATAAAAGGAAAACGAGTGCACAGACTAACAACTCTACATGGAATTAAAAGAGGACAAATATTGGGCTTATTTTGCGCCATGACTTTGCAATTCTACAAAATTTTGGGGTGTGTGGAGAAATTTAAATTTAATCGATTACTTAAATATAGAACAAATTTAATACAGCGGACTTGTATTTTTTATTTCAATTTCTATCTAATCCGAGGTATTGTTATACAAAAAATTATTAGGGAAATATCAGAACTATTATAATTCTTTATAACGTTCACATTAATATATCATGCCTGCCTCATGCATTCACTTGGTATAATCTTATTATTCACCCAAGTTATTTCACCCAAGTTGTATCATTCAAACACGCCCCTTTTGTAGCAGCATAAACCGTCCGAGTAAACATGTCCAGAATCCTGTCTTAAGTGACGCGAGCCAAAGGCCGCTATTTTGACAGATAAAATTACACGGTCCGCGACCATAATCAAATTCAATCGCATCTCTATCGTTACGTTTAATGGCTTGTCCGGACTGTATATTCATCGACATAGAGATAGGGTCTTTTCGAGCTTGTGCGTGGAAGGATTGTCGTCTCCCCCCTGCCTCTCTCCCTGTTTCTCTTACGTCCCAGAATGTCACACAGATCATTACGTGAATTTATTGTAAATTTCATATTAGAGGTTTTCAGTTCTCAATAAAACGCGATATAATTGATTACCAGGATCTTAAGTCCGTGCGGTGCTTTTTTTATTTGTAAAATAAAATTAAGGGCCACTTTGACCAAGTTCCGGTTAAAATAATACATGTATGTAATACATATAATACATATAATAATACATATAATAAAACATGTATGTAATACTCCTATATTGATTGACCTCGAGAGCTACGAAACATTACGGTGCGAATGATATTCGTGTCTCGCTCTAGAGCAAACCACCAGTGCGTTGTGCTCATGCGCTGAAACCGAGGATGCACAGAAACTCATTTTGTATCGTCAGTTTGGCGTGTTTATAGGTTATAAGCTCCAAAGCCTACGTTGCTTATTGAAGGAGGAAATTATACGCATCCATCATTAAATCAAAATGAGTAAAAGTTGTTATTTGTGTGACCGCAAGCCGTCGAAGAATAAATACATTTCTGTACATGGGTAAGTCTTATAATTTTCTCGTTAAATCGTAATTTTTACTATTATAAGGTACTATTATAAGGTAACAGAAGCAAAAAGAAGATAAAATTCCGAAAGAATCAATCCTCCGATTTTGCTGTCAATTGATATACTACTGTATTTTAGTGCGCTGATTACGAATATGATCATGAAAATTGCTGACAAGATTATTTTCAAAGTCAAAACTACTTAAAAAAACTCAAAAATTATTGTTTTTTTTTAACATTATCTTGATAAATATTGATGTAACAAAAAAATGTTTCAAATAAAAGTTGTAGCTCTTGAAAAAAATACATCATTTATGTCCTATTCATTTTTTGCATAGAATCAATATTTTTCGAAAAAAATGAGATAATAGGAAAGACACTCCCATTGCATCCATGCATATACACTTCACAACGCGAAGCGAGGCTCTACATGAGTTTGCAACTTTCCACGCAAAGCGAGGTTTCAACCCAAACTTATGTGTATTGTTCTTTGACGGTGGAACTCCCCGCAGAGGGGCAAAACACACTGCATAATGCAGAGGGAGTGTCTTTCCTATTATTTTACTCTTTCGGAACTCTACTCCAAAAAAAGCCAAAACACTTGTTATTAGTGCGAACAGCTTATATTAAATTATAAAAACATTAACAGACGTTTCAACCTCACATCAGACTATCTTTAGTGTCAAGTAAATAAAACACAAATAACGTTCGCTAATAAATTACAATAAAAAATATATTAAAATCAGTATATACTTTTTATTGTACTTTATTAGCGAACGTTATTATTTGTATTTTACTTACTTGACACTGAAGATAGCCTGATGCCAGGTTGAAACGTCTGTTAATGTTTTTATAATACAAGCTATTCGCACTAATAACAAGCGTTTTGATTCTTTTTGCTTCTGTTACCTTATAATTGTATTATTGTTACCTTATAATTGTATTTATTGAGCCTTATCATATTTAACGTAATTTTTACATTCCTTTACAGATTTCCAAAGAACGCAACTCTCCGTCAGAAATGGAAGAATGCTTGTGGATTAACCGAAAAAGATGATGTATCCCGTATTTACATTTGTTCAATTCACTTTACCTCTGAAAATATGAAAGTAATAGAGGTTTTTGGCAATCCAAGGATAATTCTGAAGCCTGGGTCAGTTCCTTCAATATCTATTCCTTCATCTCAATTTGAAATGATATTATGTGACAGTAAAAAAAATGCAACATCATTAATAAGTGATAACATCATCAAAGAAAATGCAACATCATTAATAAGTGATAACATCATCAAAGAAAATGCAACATCAGAAAATGTCGACGTTTGTTTATCATCGATGGACTCTGCATCTGTTCTTCAAAAACCTATAGATTTAGAACATATGGATGTTGACGTTAATTCTTCTTCTCAGAATCGTGATCGTAAGTGATTTATTTATTTATTATTTGCAATAAGTCCAACAGTCCAGAATCACGCGCTTATTTTTTTGAAAATTATAAACTTAGTTTCTGATGTCTTTTACTTAGGTTCTAATGAAAATGAAATCGGTACTCCTAAGAAGCGTCGATTTCATGAGCCACGCTTCATCTCGGAAATTACATTACTCGATTTGTCCACTCCAAGAAAAGCTCAGCGAATGCTAAAGTTTATAAAAAACAAGAATCAAGAGAAGGCAAAGAAAATTCAACGCTTGCAAAGCATCAACAGATATCAAAAAATACGTATCACCTCATTAGAAAATACGATAAAACATTTAAAAGATAAAGGATGTCCCATGAAGCAGAAGATTCATTAACGATAACATAAACATTGACATAATTTCATTTCAATCACATTCCAATCGCCGTATAATTGTACATAAAATAAACTTTTTATTATATTATAGTTATATATTTTAATACACACACACACACAAGTTTTAAAATTTGTCTTGTTTCCTCTTCCCAGAATATAATGTCTGATAAAATGAAAGCTATGTTAGCTAACATACTGCAGAGAAAATGTCGAAGAAAATATTCCGAAGAAGTTTGCAGCTTCGTGTTAACGTTACATTTTTATTCATCAAAGGCGTATAGTTATGTAAGACAAACGTGGGGAGAACGAATTCTTCCACATCCATCAACAATAAGACAGTGGTACCAGGTAGTCGATGGATCACCCGATTTTACACAAGAAGCATTACAAACAATTGCTGCGCGAGCTTCGAAAAAAAAAATCGTAATATTACATATATGAAAGTAATCGACGATTAACTTTCAATGTTACCAACAGTATTTCTGTCGACATATCCGTCTCCCTAACCTTTTTCTATTATAAAATGTGTTTTATTTGTTGGCAACTCTGTAATCGATGATTAAATTAACCAGAACTTGGTCGAAGTGGCCCTAAATGTTATCGGCTGGTCTTAGAGATAAGAAGACTTGGTAATTCCACGCGAATGCATACGCGCGTGCGCAAACAGTTTAATTTATTCACAAGCGGTATCGATAGAATGACAATTTTACGCGTTATCGAGATCTTCGACGAAAAGTATGAGTACTTTCAGGGTTGCGATATTCAATATTATTGGATAATAATATAGTCACGTCAATCGACCTGTCACTACAGCCGGAATGCACATGTCGCGATCGTTCTCTTCATGAATTTAGATAGAATGTTGGTAGTGTTGGCGAGAAGTGGAACGCCCGATATCTAGATTGGTCGACAAAGAGTCTGACGGGATCGACAGGTGAATATACAGAGAGACTACACAAATAGTCCCGTACGAAATTATCGACGGATCGGACGTTCACGGTGGCCGGTATCGTCGACGGCCATCTCTCGATGAGAAGAGACCCGTTTCTCCCTTTCATGAAGAGATCAAACGGAACCAATCGGTTGATGCGAATTACGAGCAGTTTGCTTTTCTCACTGACGCATTTTGATCCTTTTCAACCGGCTTCGGTTTGACAGGAAGCAATTTATTCTATATATTGGCAACATATCTGTACACATACACACACACACACACAGTAGCCACCGTCATTGCGTCAAATCGAGATTAATTTGTGAATGATACATCAATACAAGTTTGTGATGTTCGTTACGGACATTCAATCTTGATTTAGTTTATCATTAATTTTAATCGCTCCAATTTTGTCTTTTGAAATTATCAAATTGTAGTAGAACTGGAGTTGGAGTAAAATGGAGAACGACAAAAGGTTTTTCAAGCATCTGTGAAATTTAATTTATAAGCTTTAATTTCACATTTCTAATTGAATTGATTAATCACCAATTGTTGAAAGCTGCGTGCGAAGCCATTCTTGTTTGTTTAATCTTACATTATGAGCACATTCGCATTCTGTTAGTTTTTATTAGGGGGAAGGATGTTCCCCGTGGCAGAGGAAAATGAGTTATCGATAAACAGCTGGCACAAGAACTGGCGAAGATACATTCTCTGAGATTGCGGGGAAGATTCTCGAAAGAAGAACAGGATCGCTTTTGGTCTTATCATTCCGACGGCCCTAATAAGACGCGAGAGACGCGTGTTTATCGCTTCAACGCCGAAACTTAAAAGATAAGACAGATAAACGGACGAGAACGAGGTTTGTGCTGAATACGAAAGTTTGAATAATTAGCATACGACGAGCCGCGTAGCTGGACGCGTACTTCATACGCCGCTTGATGGATGAATCTAGATAATCGTTATACATATCTATGCATGTGTAGTGCGAAACATGCACATGAACATTATTTAACATTATATATAAAATTGTACAGATTTACATTTTATTATAATGTTATAAATTTACATAAAATACATTGCTAACTCGTCCAATTGCGATTTAGGAAGACACTGAGATTCTGCGATCGTCCCGATCGCCAATATCAACACCAGTTCTCCGATTAGCGCAATTTCCTGCTCTAATTGGCGCAGACTTAAATCTAAATCGCTGGTGACTCGATGATCCCCAAAGTAATTTAACGACGTAGTCGTCGGCTTAGTTCTAATTCTCTATGTTACAGGCGGAAACGTAATCGTGAAGTCGGGCAGAGATTTAATTAACTCCGGTTGTTGGTCAGAAATTTACTCTTATCCGGCGATAAAACACGACTAAAGGATTCCTTGTTACGCCCCTGCGTGATAACGAGCCGCTTTTCGAGATACTCGAAGAAGGCGGCGGCAAAGGCCGCAAACAGAAACCCCACCAAGGACGAGCGAGGTCTTTTACACGTGGAAACGGGACAATCTGCCCCGTATGCAAATGCAATTTCATTCGGCCGCGAAGGCACTCGTGCGCGCGCGTGCGCGCTCGTATTCGCGCATCCGTTACGATTGGCAATATTTCGGGTGTAAGAAACGGAAGGCAATCTATATGTAAGTAAGGTCCTTCGTATGAACACGCAAAGCCGTATGCCTCTCAAAGCCGGTGAAGAAAGGTAAAGGCGCCCGAGGGAAAAGACAGAGAGAGAGAGAGAGAGAGAGAGAGAGAGAGAGAGAGAGAGAGACGTAC